ATTAAAATATATAATAAAATTCAGGTCAATACACAAAACTTTATTTGGATGTTAAAATTTAAAATTTAAATGTTAAAATTTAAAATTTTAAAATTTAAAATTTTAACATTTAAATTTTAAATTTTAACATCCAAATAAAGTTTTGTGTATTGACCTGAATTTTATTATATATTTTAATTCTTTAAACAAATATAAACTCACTGTATACAAAACACCATCATCTAAATAAAAAAAATCGGGGTTCCAAATTTTCCATATTCCAGTCTTGAGCTGGAGACCCAAGTGTTCTCACGCATTACAACCAGTTTCCGGGAGAAGGAGCCAACCTCAGAAGACCCTGAGAACTCCACACATGCATTACGTACGATAACGTTACAATATTTCTGTACTTTACAATTTGTAATATTATGTTTCCTGAAAAAGAAAATCTGTACCTAGCAACGCATACCTCTAAGTGGGAAACAAAAAAGCATAACATAATTTTCTGGTGCTGCATATATATATAGCCTGGCAAGCTGCCACTTCGATGAGCAAGAAGACGGAACCTAAACTTCCAGGCACATCTTCAAGAAACGATAACAGACGAGTAGCGGATGTAACTGGTTCAGGATCTTAATTAATCGTGAGTTTTGGTATTAGCTACTTTGAAACTTCACTATGGCCTATTACCAGAGTCAAACAGCTAGCTAACGCCCAGCAGTGGAGTGATTAACTAATTGATCGAAAAAAATCTACAGCTATTCTAAACCCTCAAAGACTCCTGTGAAGTTATGCAACTCTGAATTCAGCAATACGTAATGAAGAGGAATTCTTGCAGTCAAAGAATCTGAAACTTGCTAAATCAACGGCCATGCTGAAGTTACCACGATGCCCCCCACCTCCACGACAGCAATGCCCTGCTGGAATCTCTAACTTCCCCTGCAGCGGGGCCGATGCAAGCCCGGACAAACCACATCCCTCGGCGACATAACACAGCGCCAACGAAAACAAGGAATTATGGGAAAATAACACGGCTGGATCTTCAATGTCATTCGTATCACTGTTACTAACGCTTTAAAGACCAATGGTAACTATACGTACCACTTCCTTTAACATTCAATAACACTGCATGTTTTCCACAGAGTATATTCATACAGTCCGTATGATTTCCAAAATAAACAGCGATTATCACACTAAACAGCATTAACAAAATAATTGTTGTCATGGAGACCACGTCCGCTTCCTCTCCCCTCCCCCCGGGTAGAAATAAAGTCTCTCTCCATTCTCTCCCACACTTTCTCTTTGCTTTTACCCTTCTGCCAACTTTCCTATCTTCGGGCTGCAAAAAGTCTATCAAATGACCAGTACAAGACGTACCCGTACATACGACAGACATTTACAATGACTATTCTTACTTCCTGACGAAGTCACGAGTCAAAGCGTAACGGGTCTAAGTAGCACCAGGAAACAGAGTCCTTTAGAACCTGATAGTCGCTCACCTTGCCACGAAATTCCATTCTATTCACGAACCGTGTTCATCCACAACAGACCTCTTTCTTAAGTCCGAAGGAATCTAGTCTACAATCTCGCGACTACTGCCTTAAGTATACTCTAAATCAGCGGTTTTCAACCTGGGGTACGCGTACCCCTGGTGGTACGTGAATACATCTTAGGGGGTACGTGAAATTTAAAAAAAAGTTTTATGATAAACACTGAGTAATCAGAAATGTAATTTATTAAATTTATTTTAGATGTAGATTATATATTATGTATAACTTGAATTATACACCAACAACTTTTAATCGTGAGTTTTGGTATTAGCTACTTTGAAACTTCACTATGGCCTATTACCAGAGTCAAACAGCTAGCTAACGCCCAGCAGTGGAGTGATTAACTAATTGATCGAAAAAAATCTACAGCTATTCTAAACCCTCAAAGACTCCTGTGAAGTTATGCAACTCTGAATTCAGCAATACGTAATGAAGAGGAATTCTTGCAGTCAAAGAATCTGAAACTTGCTAAATCAACGGCCATGCTGAAGTTACCACGATGCCCCCCACCTCCACGACAGCAATGCCCTGCTGGAATCTCTAACTTCCCCTGCAGCGGGGCCGATGCAAGCCCGGACAAACCACATCCCTCGGCGACATAACACAGCGCCAACGAAAACAAGGAATTATGGGAAAATAACACGGCTGGATCTTCAATGTCATTCGTATCACTGTTACTAACGCTTTAAAGACCAATGGTAACTATACGTACCACTTCCTTTAACATTCAATAACACTGCATGTTTTCCACAGAGTATATTCATACAGTCCGTATGATTTCCAAAATAAACAGCGATTATCACACTAAACAGCATTAACAAAATAATTGTTGTCATGGAGACCACGTCCGCTTCCTCTCCCCTCCCCCCGGGTAGAAATAAAGTCTCTCTCCATTCTCTCCCACACTTTCTCTTTGCTTTTACCCTTCTGCCAACTTTCCTATCTTCGGGCTGCAAAAAGTCTATCAAATGACCAGTACAAGACGTACCCGTACATACGACAGACATTTACAATGACTATTCTTACTTCCTGACGAAGTCACGAGTCAAAGCGTAACGGGTCTAAGTAGCACCAGGAAACAGAGTCCTTTAGAACCTGATAGTCGCTCACCTTGCCACGAAATTCCATTCTATTCACGAACCGTGTTCATCCACAACAGACCTCTTTCTTAAGTCCGAAGGAATCTAGTCTACAATCTCGCGACTACTGCCTTAAGTATACTCTAAATCAGCGGTTTTCAACCTGGGGTACGCGTACCCCTGGTGGTACGTGAATACATCTTAGGGGGTACGTGAAATTTAAAAAAAAGTTTTATGATAAACACTGAGTAATCAGAAATGTAATTTATTAAATTTATTTTAGATGTAGATTATATATTATGTATAACTTGAATTATACACCAACAACTTTAGGGGTACAGAGTTGAAGAGAAATTATATCTAGGGGTACGCGAAGACATCTTAAGGGGTACGTGAAATTTAAAAAAAAAGTTTTATGATAAACACTGAATAATCAGTAATGTAATTTATTTAATTTATTTTAGATGTAGATTATATATTATGTATAACTTGAATTATACACCAACAACTTTGGGGGTACAAAGTTGAAGAGAAATTATATCTAGGGGTACGCGAAGACATCTTAAGGGGTACGTGAAATTTAAAAAAAAAGTTTTATGATAAACACTGAATAATCAGTAATGTAATTTATTTAATTTATTTTAGATGTAGATTATATATTATGTATAACTTGAATTATACACCAACAACTTTGGGGGTACAGAGTTGAAGAGAAATTATATATGGGGGTACTCAAACAAAAAAGTTTGAATACCACTGCTCTAAATTATCGTATCATCTATGTCTTACTCTTTCCTTCAAGTCATCCGATTAGAATGTG